TCCCAAGGGTCATCTATATTGTGTGAGTACTATTACTTAATAATAATACCTATATACCACATTTTGTTCATTCCTTTGTCTGTCAATGGACACTTTGGTTTCTTACACTTTGTAATACTGCTATGAACATGAATGTGCAAATATACATACCCCTTTGAGATTTTGCTTTCAATTCTTGAGTATATGCCTGTAAGTGAAATTGCTGGATCATGGTAATTCTGTTTAATTTTCTTGATGAACCACCAAACTGTTTTCCATAGTGTATGTACCGTTTTACATTCCCAACACTGCATAAGGGTTCCAACTTCTCCATATCCTTGCCAATGCTTATCATCCTTGTTATTTTTACAATAGCCATGGTATGGGTGTGAGGGGGTATTGCATTCTGATTTTTTTTTTTTTTGTCAGCTTAAATTCAATCACCTTTATTTTAATTTCAGGTTAATGTGGGGATACAAACAACTAGGTCATATTTGAATTTATTAGGCAGAGTCCCTCTCGTACTTGTGTCCTGCACCCAAAAGATGTGCCTTATACCCCTACATTGTGCCATTAATTGGGAACATCCCAAGCTCCCCCCTCTTTTCCTCTCCTCCTTCCCTCAACTTTAATTGAAATGAGTTTTTCTCCTCTGTGAGTGTGAATTAGGTTGTCTACTGTCTTCATATCAGCATTGAGTACATTGGATATTTGCTTTTGCATTATTGTGATCCTTTACTAGAAAGACTGTGTCTCAACTCCATCCAGGTTAATACAAAAGATGTAGAGCCACTATCTTTTTATGGCTGAAGAGTATTCCATGGTATACATATACCTGTTTGTTAATCCATTTCTGAGCTGATGGGCATTTAGATCATTTCCATATCTTGGCAATTGCAAATTGAGTTATAATAAATCATCTAGTGCAAATATCCTTATAATAAAATGCTTTTTTTCTCTCCTGGGTAGACACCTAGGAATGGGATCGTGGGGGTCAAATGAGAAGTCTAATTTGAGTTCTTTGAGGATTCTCCATAATTCTTTCCAAAGAGGCTGTATGAGTTTGCAGACCCAACAACAGTGCAAAAGTGTTCCTCTCTCTCCACGTCCACACCAGCATCTGCAACTTTGGGACTTTGTGATGTGGACTATTCTCACTGGGGCTAGGTGATATCTCAGGGTGATTTTCTTTGGCATTTCTCTGATGATTATGATGATGGGCATTTTTTCATGAGTTTGTTAACCATTCATCTGTCTTCTTCAGAGAAGGTTCTGCTCATGCTTCTTACCCAGTGAGAGATGGAATTCTTTTTTTCTGTTGATTAATTTGAGCTCTCTATAGATTCTAGTTATTAAACCTTTGTCAGATTTGTAACATGCAAATATCTTTTCCCATTCTGAAGGTTGTCTATTTGATTTGCTTGTATCTCCTTAGCTGTGCAGAAGCTTTTCAATTTAATTAAGTTCCATTTGTTAATTTTTGTTATTGCCATTGCCATGGATGTCTTCTTGATAAAAATCTTTCTCCAGGCCGACATCCTCAGGAGTTTTCCCCACACTTTCTTCTAGGATTTTTATTGTTCCATGCCTTATATTTATATCTTTTATCAATCTTGAATCAATTTTTGTAAGTGGTCAAGCATGTGGGTCCAGTTTCAGTCTTTTACATGTGGTTATCCAGTTCTCCCAGCATCATTTATTAAGAGGGATTCTTTTCGCCAGTGTATGCTTGTTTGGTTTAACAAAGATCAAATGGCTATAAGAGACTGGTTTTATCTCTTGGTTTTTTATTGGGTTCTAAATGTCTATGTCTCTATTTTTGTGCAATACTATGCTTTTTTGATCACTGTGGGCTTGTAATATAGCCTAAAGTCTGGTGGACTAATGCCTCCAGTTTTGTTTGTATTACTAAAAATTGTCTTGGCTATATGGTTTCTTTTTTGGTTCCATATGAAACAAAGAACTATTTTTTCCACTTCTTCAAAGTATGATGTTGGTATTTTAATGGGGAGTGCATTGAATCTATAGATTGCTTTGGGAAGTATAGACATTTTAACAATGTCAATTCTTCCCAGCCAAGAGCATGGTATACTCTTCCATTTGTTAATATCTTTTGCTATTTCTTTTCTTAGGGTTTCATAATTCTCTTTGTAGAGGTCTTTCACCTCTTTTGTTAGGCATATTCTTAGGTATTTAATTTTCTTTGAAGCTTCTGTGAAGGGAATTGTGTCCTTGATTAGCTTCTCAGCTTGGCTGTTATTGGTGTAAACAAAGATTACTGATTTCTGACATTGATTTTATACCCTGACCCATTATTTCTTGATCACTTCCTGGAGTCTCGTGGTTGAGTCGCTGGGGTTTTCTAAGTATAAGATCATATCTTTGGCAAAGAGCAAGAGTTTGGCCTCCTTTGCCTCCATTTGGGTGCCCTTTATAGTCTTCTCTTACCTGATTGCATTGGCTAGAACTTCCAGCACAATGTTGAATAATAGTGGTGATAGAGGACATCCTTGTCTAGTTCCAGTTCTAAGTGGAAAAGTTTCAGTTTTGCTCCATTCAGGATGACATTAGCTGTGGGTTTGTCATAGGTGGCTCAATCAGTTTAAGAAATGTACTTCCTATGCCTATATTCTTAAGTGTTCTTGTTAGAAAAGTATGCTGAATTTTATCAAATGCTTTTTCTGCATCTATTGAGAAGATCCTATGGTCTTTATTTTTGCTTCTATTAATATGGCAAATTACATGTATGGATTTGCATATGTTAAATCACCCTTCCTTCCCTGGGATGAAGCCTACTCGAGCATAATGTATAAGTTTTTAATGTGTAGCTGTAATCTATTGGTTAGGATTTTACTGAGTATTTTTGCATCTATATAAATTCTTGAAATTGATCTGTAGTTCTCCTTTTTAGTTGGATCCTTTCCTGGTTTTGGTATCAGGGTGATGTTAGCTTCAGAGAATGTTTTGGGGAAGGACCTTCCTTCTAAATCAGCAGTTCTCAACCTGTGGGTCGTGACACACAGGAACTATATTAAAGGGCTATAGCATTAGGAAGGTTGAGAACCACTGTTCTAAATGTTTTAGAATAGTCTCTGCATTATAGGTATGAGCTTTTCTTTGAAGATTTGATAGAATTCTGGTGTGAAGCCGTCTGGTCCTGGGCTTTCTTTTTTATTGGAAGATTATTTTTTTACTGTTTCTTTAATCTCAGTGCTTAATATTGCTCTGTTCAAGAAATCTATTTCTTCTTCATTAGGTAAATTTCTTTCTTCTTTTTCTTTCTTTCTTTCCTTTCCTTCCCTTCCTTCCTTTCTCTTTCTCAACAGTCTCACTTTGTCACCCTCAGTAGAGTGCTGTGGCATTATAGCTTACAACCTCGAACTCTTGGGCTCAAGTGATTCTCTTGCCTCAGCCTCCCTAGTAGCGGGACTACAGATGCCCTCTACAATGCCCGGCTGTTTTTTTGTTTGTTTAGCAGGTCCTGGCCAGATTTGAACCCACCAGCCCCAGAGCATGTGGCCAGTGCTCTAACCACTGAGCTATGGGTACACAGCCCACATTGTCAAATTTCTGGGCATAGGATTTCTAGTAGTAGTCAGAGACAGTGTCTTATATCTCTGTGATATCTGTTATTTCCCCTTTTTCATTTCTGATTGAAGTTATTAGAGATCTTACTTTTTGGTTTCTAGTTAATCTAGCCAAAGGTTTATTAATTTTATTTTTTCAAAGAACCAACTTTTTGTTAAATTAATTTTCTGAATGATTCTCTTGTTTTCAATTTCATTTATTTCTAATTTAATTTTGGTTATTTCTTTTCTTCTGCTAGGTTTGGGATTAGATTGCTCTTCCTTTTCCATTTCCTTAAGATGATTCATTAAGTTGTTGATGTGCTCTCTGTTTTTTGGATATAGACATCTAATATGATAAATTTCCCTCTTAAGACTGCTTTTGCAGTGTCCCACAGGTTTTAGTAACTTGTATCTTCATTGGTGTTATGTTAACAATTTCCTCCTGGGCAATGCCTGTGCTCAAAGGAGAAGGGTGCGGGCCCCATATGCCTGAGGTGGTGGGTTCAAACCCAGCCCCAGCCCAAAACGGCAAAAAAATAAAAAATAAAAACAATTTCCTCCTTTATCTCTTCCTTGACCCAACTGTCATTTACCATAAGGTTGTTTAACTTCCATGCCTTTGTATGGGGCTGAAAACTTTGGTTGTTGAGTTCCACCTTTATTGCCTTGTGGTCAGAAAAGATACAAGGTATAATTTCAATTCTTTTCATAAAAGGTCTCTTTCATAAATCTTAGAGCATTTAAGTTGGGTGCATGTATGTTTAGAATTGAAATGTCCTCTTGTACCCTTGACCACAATGAAGTGACCAGCATTGTCACTTTGATTTGCATTTCCCTAATGATTAGTGATGTTGAACATCTTTTTCATATGCCTATTGGTCATCTGTTTATCCTCTTTGGAGAAATGTCTATTTTAATCCTTACCTATTTCCCACCCCCTCCACTCTGATCCCCTACATGACCCCCATTTTAAAAATCAGGTTGTTCTCTAGGGCAGCACCTGTAGCTCAAAGGAGTAGGGCGCCGGCCTCATATGCAGGAGGTGGCGGGTTCAAACCCAGCCCAGGCCAAAAACTGCAAAAAAAAAAAAAAAAAATCAAGTTGTTCTCTTAATTGACTTCCAGAGTCTTTCATCAGAGATATGATTTGCAAGTATTTTCTCCTATTCCCTGGGTTGCCTTTTCACCAGTGATTGTATCTTTTGATGCAGTTTTAAATTTTGATGTGGTCCAATTTATTTTTTGTTTTGGTGCCTCTGTTTTTGGTGTGATATTCAAGAAATCACTGTTAAATCCAAAGTGATTAAACTTTCCTCCTGTATTTTCTTCTAAGACTTACAGTCTTTTAATGTTTACATTTTAAAGTCTTAGAAGACTCTTATTTTGTTTGATAGCGTGATTTCACACTTGGCATTTTAAGTATTTCTCACGTACATTCTGTTTCCTTCTTTAGGGGCCACTGTATTTTGTGTTGCTCCAAATGCAGTATTTCCATTTGAATTGTATAATGAAGAGTATTTAGAGCAAAGGGATATCTACCTGACTCAGTGCCAACAACAGCTTGAACAGTTTATTGCCACGTACGGACCAGGGACAGGTATCTTCTCTAGTGATGAATAAATGATTTGAGGAAATCTTTTTTTCTTCATTCCTACTTAAGCAGTGAGGAAAAGTGCATTTGAGAGTGACTTTTAAAAATATGAAGTATGGCCTCCTCAAAATTAATTCCTTATGGGATAAATACTAATCCAAACCTCTACAGCCAACAGCAGAATTTTAAAACTTATAACAACAGGCTTGGTGCCTGTGGTTCATGTAGCTAAGGCACAAGCCACATACACCTAAGGTGGCAGGTTCAAATCCAGCCCAGCCCGCCAAACAACAGCTGCAACCAAAAAAATAGCTGGGCGTTGTGGCAGGCGCCTGTGGTCCCAGCTACTTGGGAGGCTGAGGCAGGAGGTTCGCTTGAGCCCAGGAGATGGAGGTTGCTGTGAGCTGTGATGCCACAGCACTCTACCCTGGGGGACAGCTTGAGGCTCTGTCTCAAAAAAAAAAAAAATACTTAGAATAGTGTGGACAATTTCTAAGTGATAAATTTGTCAAGGAGAATACTACCTTAAGAAAAAAAATTCTGGTTAGCCCAGAATATCAATGGTGAACAGATAAAAATATAAATAAGCTCAACACCTTGTATGTAGTTCACTATATTTGTCACAAGATGGCAATAATGCTTTAACTACAAATTAATGTTAAACTATTTTTTCCTTACACTTGTGAACTTGTCAAACTAATGAGTAAATATATATAACCTTACGTATTGACTCTTGGTGGCGGATCAAAACTTAATAAAAAAGATTATATAACTTTAAACTTCAAATTTAAGGTCTTTTCATGCTTTTTTTTTGACATGTCTATAATGTACTGTTTTAGAAGCCCTAAATACAGGGAGGCGCCTGTGGCTCAGTAAGGCGCCGGCCCCATATACCGAGGGTGGCGGGTTCAAACCCAGCCCCGGCCAAACTGCAACAAAAAATAGCCAGGCGTTGTGGCGGGCGCCTATAGTCCCAGCTACTTGGGAGGCTGAGGCAGAAGAATCACCTAAGCCCAGGAGTTGGAGGTTGCTGGAGCGACTCTGCTGCACTCTACCGAGGGTGAAAAAGTGAGACTCTGTCTCTACAAAAAAAAAAAAAAGAAGCCCTAAATACAGTCTGGCAAAGCCTTGGTAATTCCCCATAAATTATGCACAAATGTGTCAGGTTAAATGAAAATGTGCATGTTATCAAGGAGACTGTTAATGTATAAATTGGCTACTTAGCCCTGACTAGTTACAAGAAAGGTTCCATAAGGCAAAGAAATCAATTTGGAAGCCCAGTCTTCATTTTTTTTTTTTTTTTAAGAGACTGAGTCTCACTGTATCGCCCTTGGTAAAGTGCTGTAGTGTCACAGCTCACAGCAACCCCCAACTCCTAGGCTTAGGCGATTCTCTTGCCTCAGCCTCTGGAGCAGCTGGGACTATAGGCGTCTACCACAACGCCTATTTTTGTTATTGTTGCAGTTTGGCCAGTGTCAGGTTCAAACTCATCACCCTTGGTATATGGGGCTGGCACCCCCCCTCCCCCCACTCACTGAGCCACAGACACCATCCCTAGTCTTTATTTTTGAAGGAATGGTTTTCTGCTCTGAAAAGGCAGAAATATCATGAGAAAACATATCTTGTAAAAAATTCTTAAATCTTTAGTTCTCATTTTTCAAAGCCTTAACAAAAGATCACATCCATTCACAGAAAAGCAAAATATCACCCAACAGCCACTTTATTAACCACTTATTCAGCCACTTTATTAAAGATTTGATGCTATCATGCATCAAATCTTTCAAAATTGGCACTTCAGAGTTTCTTAACCAAACAGTAGGTCCACTTACCAACGCTCTGGGATCTAGAAATCACTATCATTGAACACCTACTAGCGCCAGCCAGGGACAATGTTCGAAGGAAAAGCTAGTTTTTAACATTTACATATTACAATTTTGTTATCAGTTAGCAAGATGCTTATCTTGTGCTTCTCATGTATATCTCTACCTTTTATGGTTCTCTATGGTATGAAGGCAGAACACTTCCCCATCTTATTTAATCTTCACCTAGGTAGAAATCTAGTTTTAGAATTCTTTTTTTTTTTGCAGTTTTTGGCCAGGGCTAGGTTTGAACCCGCTACCTCCAGCATGTGGGGCCAGTACCCTACTCCTTTGAGCCACAGGCACTGCCTCTAGAATTCGATTCCTTTAATCCTAGACCTGCCCACCCAGTCAGTTTCTCTTTAACAAAGCACAATTATTACTTGTACTAAGATTAGGATTACTGTGTTCAAAGATGCAAAACTGAATTAAAAAAAATTTTTTTTTGAGACAGGCTCACTGTTGCACTTGATAGAGTGCAATGGCATCACAGCTCACAGCAACCTCAAGCTCTTAGATTCAATGATCCTCTTGCCTCAGTCTCCCAAGTAGCTGTGACTACAGGCACCCACTGCAATGCCCAGCTTTTTTTTTTTTTTTGAGACAGTCTTAGTATATCACCCTCAGAGTACTGTACTATGACAGTTCACAGCAACTTCAAACTCTTGAGCTTAAGCAATTGTGTTACCTCAGCCTCCCACATAGCTGGGACTATAGAACCTGTCTAAACAGCCAACTCATTTTTTGTTGCAGTTATCATTGTTTAGCTGGCCCTGGCTGGGTTTGAACACACCAGCCTCAGTGCATGTAGCCAGAGATATCTCACTCTAGCTCAGACTGGTCTCAAACCTGTGATCTCAGGCAATCCACTGGCCTCAGCTTCCCAGAGTACTAGGATTACAGGCATGACCCAGTACCCGGCCCTTAAATCTTAAGTAACAACTATAATCACAGAATGGTGATAGCTTTCACATAAGGGACAATTTGACTGCGTTAAAGAGTTCAAGTTTTCTACCAGTTTTTCAGGTACCATAGAATAACAAAGGGGAAGCTGGATATGAAATAGGCAGTGATTAGGGCCTCTCCAGAAATTACCAAAGGCGACAAAGGGAAAGTAGGGGGAGTACAGGAAATATCTCCCCATATTCTATCTCAGTGAGAATCACCACCCACAAATGAACTAATTAATGGCAAGAACATTACATTGTTAAAGTATGGTAAAAATAGGTCTGACCAGTAGTGACTATTAAGAATAGAGCTATTTTAAAGAAAACAGACTTTACTGCCCAGCAATTAAAATAATTAGTCACATTTATTTTCTACATCATTTATTATGAAGTTAGCAAAACCAAGTAAAATATTTATTTTCATCATTTGCTTCTGTTCATCTGTTTCCTTGAACAGTCTTCATTCTTTCTTCCATATGTTGCATGGCACACCTCTAAAAAATCAGAACAGTGAAAATCATTTCATAATCAAAAATAAAGTTAACCACATAACCTCAAATGATAGTGACTTTTTGCTGCGGTTTGGCACCCATAGCTCAGCGCTTGGGGTGTCAGCCACATATACCAAGGCTGGTGGGTTCAAATCTAGCCCAGACTTGCCAAACAACAATGACAACTACAACCAAAAAATAGCTGGGCCTTGTGGCAGGTGCCTGTAGTCCCAGCTATTTGGGAGGCTGAGGCAAGAGAACTGCTGAAACCCAAAAGTTCTGTGAGCTGTGATGTCATGGCACTCTACCCAGGGTGGCAGTTTGAGACTCTGTCTCCAATAAAAAAAAAAGAGAGAAAGGAAACCATATCCGGACATGCAAATGCAACAGCAACAGGAATTAGCCCCAACCCCTTGGATTAATCAGACATGTAACTGTCAACAGATGTGGCTGCTTTACTAGTCACAATTACTTACCTGAGGTAACAAAGGAGTATTTCAAAAAACTGCAGCTAAAGGACAGGCATCTGCAGCTACCTATGTGCTAAGGAGAAAGAACATTTGATCTCTTAGTAAACAAGCTGTATTATACACCATTAACATAACCAATATAGATTACTGGCATCTCAGTCTTAAAATTATTTCTTCAAAGATACCCTCAGCTGGGTAAACGGCAAAAATTTAAGTCATCATTGTGCCAGCCATGATCAATGGCAATAACATCAAACATTTGGGGTATTGCCTGTTAGTAACAATAGCACCAAGACCCCATAAAGGATGTAATTTAACATTTTTCATACCTCAATATATCCGGTGGTGGTTCTACTTTTTCATTACCATTTTGTTAAGTTTTTTTAAAACATCTGTCACTATGACCTTCACACACCTTCAAAACTCAAGAGGATTTGTCAGACCTAGAAATTAAATATTTCACTGTCAATTCCAGTTTGTAATTGCACTTGTTTGGCATGTTACATGAAGGAATAGTCTAATAAAAATTTCATTCCTATAAGGAACCCACCCTACCTTTGGGGACTCTAACCCAGTTTTTAATAAAAATACCAGTATCTGTTCAATTCATTTCTAATGGAATAAAAGAACACAATTCCTGTTTTATTACTTCTTGATAGTAGTAACCAACAAACTCAAAATTTAAAAACACCTGTTAGTGACTTGAGTATTTTCAAATCTTTTGACTGGTTAGTACCTAAAAATTACATAAATGGTGGAAACATTTTATATCCATCATCACAGTATTGATTTTAAGACACAACGGTTCTAATGAGTAGATAATCATTGCTTTTCTGTCTCAGAGTTCGACTAGAATGTGCTAAGCCAGGTCAAATGCTAGGTATTATAGAAATTAGTGTGAAGATTTTCACCTGAAAACATTACAATGGCAAATCTAGTTTTAGAGCAGGGATGCCTACACTGTATTATCGGACACATTTCTATAGGATTAAGTTTAAGTTAACTGAATGTACACAAGGACAGCAAAGGAGATGGCCAGGGCCACACAAAATGTCACAGAGCACCTCAGGCGTATAAATCACTGAGCTAAACAATTATTTGTATCATTTATGAAGACATACAAGTTGGGACCCTGCTAAACTATCATTTTCATGCCTTGAAATGTTTAACTATTTCACATGAGCATGAGAAATAAAATTATTGGTTGTGAATAATTCTAATTTAAAAAATTTCAGTTTAATCATTCACGGGAACTACAGACAACTACATGAACACTCATTCTTATAATACCTAAGAGTATGTTTAAAGATACATATGTATAATAAAACTACTATCCATCCCACCCACCAGCCACAAAAATCAAAAAACGGATGAACACAGAATTAGACATAAGTACTACTAGATAGGGTCAGGGGAATGGGGGTGGGAGGCAGGTAACACAGTATTGGCAATTTTACTGCTTTTAAATGGGTCGGTGGGTTCCTTTGTATTTATTATGCTTCAGACTTTTGTGCACTACCTATATTTTTATGAAACACTTAGCTTGGAAATTTCTAGAAATTCCAGCACTTAGCAACAATTCAAACCACATAGGGCACAAAATTGATGAATACAGAGTATATAACCATTACATTCGTCCTGTTGACAGCTAACTCTTAAATTACTTCAGCTGAAACAATGTAGATGCCTTACCATTTTAAAATATTTTTGAATTGGCAGCATGTGTTTCCGGTCTCCCCGCAGTTGACTGATGTACGTCCGCTAACTCCCATCTCCCTGTGAAGGCAAGCAGCAGGCATTCACAGCGTTAAGGGCCTTCCAGACCTGCACAGACTGTTCTCCAATTTCAGTGTCCTGTCTCAGAACTTATTTACAAGGGAATGTACAGGAAAACGCCGATTAGCTCCCCTAATGGCTAGAGATCAGCACAGACCCACAGTAAACCTCGTTTATGAAATAAAATTTCAAAACCACATACAAAGTAAGGTTAGGGATGGGTCGTTACCTAAGAGATAATCGCCCCCCCCCCATAAACTGCTCCTTTATAAAGGATAAATAAGCCGCCCATTTAAAGGAAACCTAAACAAGCCAATGCCGCAAGCACAGATTTGCGGGGGGTACAAAAGGGACCCGGCAAAGGCCGGGCGGAGCACGAAGTTACCTGGCCGTTTCTTCCAGGCACCTCGGCTTCCCCGGAGTCACGGAAGGCCCTTTATACTAACTTCCGGGCTCACAATCAGCGCTTACGGAGTAAGCTGTGCAAAGACTTCCAGGTGATTGCTCACAAACGCGTCCGCTCAGGTGGCCGGAGGGTTAACTCGTGGCCCGTGACCGCGCGGGGAGCGTCGCCTCCTGGACCAACCCTGCGGCGCCGGCTGCTCGGCTGGGCCGCAGCAAGGCGGCGCCGCGCTCGGTACCCACGAAGCGAAGGATCCCAGCACGCAGGAGAGGAAGAACTATGACTGCGATGAGTCTCACCTCCAAGAGCCCAGCTACCGACGCGCAACCTCAGCCGCCTTCCCACCCGCATAGCTAGCAAGTTTTCCCGAACCTTCCTCCTGCGGCTGCAGCGTGGAAAAGGAAGCGCGTCCTCCGGGGGGCAGCTTTTGGGCCCCCGGGGCTAGGACCGCCCCTTCCGGGACGCGGCCCCGCCCGTCCATGCGCAGTGCGGGCAGACGCTGGGTCCGGCGGGGAGGTCTGGACCCCGGATTTGGGTTGTGTAACTTGCTAGAGTCCTTTTTTCTTTTCTTTTTTTTTAAAGGCGGAGTCTATGGTAGAGTAAGGTGGTGCACAGCTTGTGCACTACCTATATTTTTATGAAACACTTAGCTTGGAAATTTCTTACACTTGGAAAACACTTACACTTGGTAGAGTAAGGTGGTGTCACAGCTCACAGCAACCTCAAACTCTTGGGTTCAAGCGATTCTCTTGCCTCTGCCTCCCAAATAGCTGGGACGACAGGCGCCCGCCACAATACTCAGCTATTTTTTTGTCGTAGTTGTCATGGTTGTTTAACAGGCCCAGCCTGTTTTCGAACCCGCCTGCCTCAGCGTATGGGGCTGGCGCCCTAACCGCTGAGCTACAGGCGCCGAGCCTAGAAGCCTTTTAAGGCTCTAGTTCTGAGTACTTCAGCTAGAGCTACTTCATCGAATATGCGAAAGAGTTACCTACTCGGATATAGACAAGCAGAAAATGCTCTGGAAAAGAGTCTCTGCCCGGGCTCAGGTGGCTCACGTCTGTAGTCCTGGCACTTTGGTAACACAGCGAGACCCGGTCTCTTCGGAAGTAGTGGGGCTCGGTGGTGCACTCCTGTAGTCCTACCTAGTCGAAAGCTGATACCGGAGGATCACCAAGCCTGGGAATTGGGGATTGTATCATTGGGCCACTGGGCTCACTTTGTCGCCCTCTGTAGAGTACACTAGAGTCATAGCTCACAGCAACCTCAAACTCCTAGGCTCAAGCAATTCTCTTGTCTCAGCCTCCCAAGTAGCTCGGACTTACAGGTGCCTGCCAGGATGCCCAGCTTTTTTGTTGTTGTTTGTTTAGCAAGCTTAGGCTGGGTTCAAACCCACCAACCCCAGTGCGAGTGGCCAGCTCCCTAATCACTGAGCTATGGGCGTTGAGCCTATTATTATTATTGTTATTATTGAGACAGAGCCTCAAGCTGTCCTCAAGCTGTAGAGTGCAGTGGCATCACAGTTCACAGTAACCTCTAGCTCCTGGGCTCAAGCGATTCTCCTGCTTCCGCCACCTAAGTAGCTGGGACTACAGGCGCCCGCCACAACGCCTGGCTATTTTTTGGTTGCAGCCGTCATTGTTGTTTGGCTCCCTGGGCTGGATTCGAACCCGACACCTTAGGTGTATGTGGCTGGTGCCTTAGTCACTTCAGCCACAGGCGCTGAGCCATTATTATTATTTTGAGACCGAGTCTCACTTTGTCAGGCTTGGTAGAGTGCTAGGGCATCATAGCTCATAGCAGCCTCAAACTCCTGAGCTCAAGCGACTCTCTTGCCTAAGCCTCCTGAGTAGCTGGAACTGTAGGCACCTGCTACAACACCTGGATGTTTTTAGAGACGAGGTCTTGCCTCTGGCTCAGGCTGGTCTCAAAATGTGAGCTCAGGCAATCTACTCGCCTCAGCCTCCCAGAGTGCTAGGATTACAGGTGTAAGCCACTGAACCTAGCCTGGGAGTCAACTATTATAATTAGACTACCAGCAGCCCCTACCACAAAGGCGATCATTAACCCTAAAGTTTGGGGATATTGTGAGTCCTGTGAGCTCTTTTCTCATTGCTGTGCAAAGAGAAAGGAGAAAATTGCCCGGAAATGATGAAAGATGTAGGAATTCTGACAAAGAATGGGTACAGATTTTTAGTTTCAATTCTGTTTTTAAAATGGCTACAAAAGCAAACACAGCTATTATTTAACACAGATTTAATGATTTTGTTTGTTTTAAGACTCGGTCTGTCACCCTGGGTAGAGTGCTATGGCGTCATAGCCCACAGCAATCCCACACTCTTGGGCTCAAGAGATCCTCTTGTCTCACCCTCCCGAATAACTGGGACTACAAGCACCTGCAACCATGCCTAGGTAGTTTTTTGTTTTGTTTTTTAGTAAAGATAGGATCTCCCTCTTGCTCAGGCAGGTCTCCAACTCCTGGACTCATGCCATCTACCCACCTTGGCCTCCCAGTGTGCCAGGATTACAAGTATGAGCCACTGTACCCGGCCCTAACACAGATTTATTGACATACAAAAGCTGCACACACTGAAAATGAAAAGTTGAGTAAGTTTTAATATATGTATATACTTGTAACACTCAGGTACTTCGTGCTATCTCCCTTACACCACTCTCTTCAATTACACGAGATAGCCACTGATTTGCTTTCTGTTACTATAGATTTAGCATACTTTTTCTATAATTTGTTTTAATGAAATCATACAGAATATACTTTTTTACAGTGTTATTGAGGTATAGTTGATATACAGAAAAACTGGACAAATTTAATATATTCAATTTGATGAGTCAGTATGTACTATTTTAAATCTGGCTTTCAGTCAGCATAATTATTTTGAGATTCATCCATCTTGTTGTAACAACAATTAATTCCTTTTTATCATTGAGAAGTATCCCCTTATATGGATATACCATGACCTCACTTCTGAGCTCAACATATACCCTTTTCTACCTCACCATCCCCAGTGCTGAGTAATGACCATAGACCCAACTTTTAACCATTTATTTTCTTTCTCTCTGTCTTTCTGTGGAAGACTTTGTATTTCTTTTTCATCCCTATACTAAAGACTCCCTTTCTTCCTTGAGTTCCTTGCTAGAGTTTCCTCTTCCTATGCAAAACTTAATACTCCTGTAACCTTTGCTCATCATAAAGAGATTTTTAGGAATTTAGAATTCCTCTTTCTCTTTGAAGTCTATTTCCAAAAGAGCTTAAGAAAAGCAATGAAGGCTCAGGCCCATAGGTCAGTAAATAGGGTACCAGCCACATATACCCAGGCTGGCAGGTTCAAGGCCAGCCCAGGCCTGCTAAACAATAACAACTGCAACCAAAAAATAGCTGGGCGTTGTGGCAGGCACCTGTAGTCCCAGCTACTTGGGAGGTGCCCAAGAATTTGAGGTTGCTGTGAGCTGTGACACCATGGCACTCTACCAAGGGCAACAAAGTGAGACTCTCTTTCAAAAAGAAAAGCAATATAGAGATTTGGAATTGTTCTATAATTTTGATTACTAAAGTCAGCAACTTCCCATTATGCTTAAAAAATACATTTGCGTATGTGGCCAATTGATTTTCAACAGGGATATCAAGATCATTCTATGAGGATAAGACAAACTTTCCAATAAATTGTTCTGAGAAAACTGGATGTTCACATGCAATAGAATGAATTCAGTCCTAGCATTCTGGGAGGCTGAGGCCAGTGGATTGCCTGAGCTCACAGGTTGGAGACCAGCCTGAGCTAGAGCAAGACCTTGTCTCTAAAAATAGCTGGGCATTGTGGCAGGTGCCTGTAGTCCCAGCTACTCAGGAGGCTGAGGCGAGAGAATCCATTGCTTGAGCCCAAGAGTTTGAGGTCATTGTGAGCTATGACACCATTGCACTCTACCCAGGGCAACAAAGTGAAATTCTGTCTCAAAAACAAACAAACAAACAATAACAAAAAACCCAGAAATTTAATGGATGTGGAATTTCTGTTTGGGATGATGAAAAATTCTGGAAGTGGATGGTGGTGATGGGTATATAACTAGGGTGACCAGATTTTAACATTGGTAAAGTGGGACAACATGGCTGGGGGGCGGGGCAGGGCAGGGCCTGACAACAATGCAAATTTTGATAAGCAGTTCTCGATAATCACTTCTCAACAATTATTTGTTATTATTACAGTTTAACATAAAATTAACAAAAATAATATAAAACTCATATCCTGACAAAATAGCCACATGGCAGCCGAAAACCGTATATTCCCTTCCTGTTCTCCTGCCCGTTGTTCCTGCATTCTTTCCAAAAATCGGGGCTTTTTTAAAATGCCAAGGGACATGGGACAAATTGTTCAAAAGCAGGACGTCTGGTCACCCTATGTGTAACACTATAAATGTACTTAACATCACAGAACTGTACACTTAAAAATGGTTGTGTATTGTACATTTTACCACAATAAAATTTTTTAAAAACACATTTTAAGAAAGTCCACACATCTTCCCCCATGGCCTAACTCATCTCCAGTTTCCCCTCCATTGCTATGCTTACTTTGACCTACCTTTATTTCTTAGAACACACTAATTTTCATATCCCAGAGCCTTTACTCTTGCCTGGAATTCTCTTGTCCGCATACTTTTCTTCCTCTCTTCCCTTCTCCTTCCCTCCTTCCCTCCCTCCCTTCCCTTCTCTTTCTTTTTTTTTTTTAAAGGACATCTTACTATGTTGCTCAAGGTGGTCTCGGAGCTCCTGGGCTAGAGGTGAGGCAAGAGAGTAAAAGCAGAGCTAAGTATCCGTCCTAGTCACTCTGCATAGGCATTAGCCAACAATCTGTAACACTCCTACCGCTACTGCAACAGGTGTCTCTGTTATCTGTATGCCCTTCCCTTGGTATGTGCTGGGCCTAGATAGGAACCTTGTAACTTCCTTAACCTTCTGTCACCTTTGAGGACAGGTAGCCTGACCCAAGGGCTCTGGCCAACCTGAACTTCCCTTGAGTCCCAAGACTTTCACTTTTGTCACATCTCTCACATCCTTCACAACTTTCATGTGCACCCTACCCCTAAAAAATGTACAAAAGAAAGGCAAGAGATTAAGTCGGGGGCTTAGTTTTTAGGACACTAGTCAGTGCCCCCCCCTACTCGGATGGAAAATAAAGCCACTTCATCTTCCAACTGGTGCCTGGAGTCTTCTGTCTGCGTAGGTTTCCTGCTACAGAGGGACCCTCCTACCTCAAGCTCCCAACTGCCTGGGACCTCTGTGTGTGCCACCATGTCCAACTTTTCCTTTCTCTGATCTAACTTCCATGTCAACTTCTCAGAAAGACCACACTGACCCATCTGTCCATAGCAGGCCACTCCAACACATCTC